CGGTGATTTAAAGCTAACCTCCATTTCATGGACTTTGTTCGGTGATTTAAAGCTGACCTCCATTTCATGGACTTTGTTCGGTGATTTAAAGCTGACCTCCATTTCATGGACTTTGTTCGGTGATTTAAAGCTGACCTCCATTTAGTTCCACGGTATCTAATTTAAAATTCTACTAATATTTTGGTTTGGTAGGCTACCCATCTTTTAATCAATGGTTATTTGGTACACTTTAGGGTTAAGACCTTCCCTTTAGCAAAGTCTGTTAAGTGTTCTTCCCATCAGCACTCTTTTCCTGAACATGACTCGTGACACCTTCCTATAATAAGTTATGTCAGACACTATGACTGATAACTAGTCTTGTTCTCGTGGGGTAAGCTAAACAGTGTTTTGATGACTAGGGACTTCAGATGAATAGTAAATCAACTAGCTATATTTTACATCCTTAATATGTTTGCCTGGGATGACAACCTAAAACTAAGCCTAATACGTTTTGATCTATTTTTCTTTATTTATCTGTTATTTTTATGTCCCCCCCAACAAAAAAAGAGTTGGAATTAATTTCGTTTGATCATTGATTCAATATATGGTTGCAACCATCCAGCATGTGAAAGGTTGTTAGGAATGTAATACGTATAACTCAAAGAAACGGAGGCCATTCTTGTAGATGCAAGCCTACCAAATTGTAGGTGAATCCCTTGTACAAGCTTTCTGGATATTCCACAAAATTTTGTTCCAGAAAGTTGGATGCCCTAGTGTTATGGTATATTAATGAATATGTGATCAGACTCAAAATCAAGTTAAATAAATCAACTGAATGCGTATATATATTCACAACATAAATAAAATGTATTTTTTTAAATCAGTTACTAGAATCAAATATTTGTTTATATTTAAAGACAGCGAACCAAATAGTAAGCATTCATTGGTTATTTACGCCCATGCGCAGCATTGAATACGTCGGGTCCAATGTTAGGAACACTTTGTACTAATATGTGAGAAATGCATCTCATTAAAACATCTTTTAATGTTAATGTTAGTTATAAAACATCTTTAGCCATTTTTAATGTTACTGATACAACACCGACCTTACCTTTAGCCATTTATAATGTTACTGATACAATACCGTTGATTTTAGCCATTTTTAATGCGACTTACACAACACCGACCTTATCTTTAGCCATTTTTAATGTTACTGATACAACACCAATCTTATCTTTAGCCATATTTAGTGTCACTGATACAACACCGTTGTTTTTTAGCCCCTTTTAATGTTACTTACACAACATCGATCTTATCTTTAGCCATTTTTAATGTTATTGATACAGCTCAAATGATAAACAACTTAGACCTAAAGCCTAGTCTGGACCATCGATTTTTTAGCTGTTTCATTACCGTTTCAGTTGGAGTGCAACACGGTGTATTTTACCGCTTCAGTTGGAGTGCAACACAGTGTATTTTACCGTTTCAGTTGGAGTGCAACACAGTGTATTTGTACTTGTACGTACTTTTTCAAGGTTTATAGTAATTCTTCTTAGAACTCGATCGTCAAAACATTTCAAATAAATTTTGTTGTTCGGATAGTCCTATACTTACTTGTAACGGACTACTTTCTGCAGACATAGCAGTAAAGCCGACAATGTCGCTAAAGTAAATAGTAACACAATCGAAAGATTCGGCTTCCACCTTGGTTCCACGTTTCAACTGTTCAGCCACGTATCTGCAATTTAAGAAGATTATATACGTGATTTATTTTCCCAATATAAAACCCGCATCACGTTTTTAGAAACGAAACTGTGGAAGAAATACCATTTCATCTAGTCTGTCATGCTGGTCGCACACTCTTTTTAATTTCAGGAGAGAAGGAGGGTTCAAAATATATAAGGACCATCCTTTCTCAGGAGAGGGGATTTAAAATATATAAGGACCATCCTTTCTCAGGAGAGGGGGGTTCAAAATATATAAGGACAATTCTTTCTCAGGAGAGGGGGTTCAAAATATATAAGGACAATTCTTTCTCAGGAGAGGGGATTTAAAATATATAAGGACCATCCTTTCTCAGGAGAGGGGATTTAAAATATATAAGGACCATCCTTTCTCAGGAGAGGGGGATTCAAAATATATAAGGAATCCTTTCAAAGATATTTTCTAACGTAATTAAATTTGTTGTAAAAAATAACAGAAACTCTTAAAACTGGCTTGTATTTCCTCTTTATTCCAGTTCAAGTTAAGCAGTAACCAAATTAACATCAGATTGCTGCCATCTACTGTTTAAAATAGTCAACTTGAAAAAAAGAAATGACTAAACAAAATCTAATAAAAAGGATTTGTAATATATTAATATACTATCTTATTTAAATGTATTGTAAATACCATTTGAAATTTCAGGTTAAAAACTTTATCAACAGTTTGCTAATTCTTTTTTTTTATGTGGTTATTTGAACAATGCTTTAATATGAAGATTATTCTTTTTTTTTATCAATGAACCAAACCATTGGAAGTAATCAAGTTCATAAGTATAGTTAATACTGCATTGAATTGGTCTCAATTTACGTTGAATATCTTATGTTTATGAAATGGTTAGGGCTGTATAATTACAAAGTTGTAATGGTGAAATTACCTCCATTTTGACATAAAACATATTTGTTGGATCACACAATAACTGTAAATCTGTACAAATATTCTTATGGTCTGAAGATGTTAACATAAATGTGATGTCTATACGAATTTAATTGTATAACAATATTGTTGTCGACTAAGTTTAGTTTGTTATACGCGGTTATCCAACAGAGTCTGTAAAATTAGTTTATATAAGTATAGTTTTGTTTACTGTCTTTCAGGAATATTGGAACATATAAGTAAAGAACCCTCATTTTAGGAGAGAAAAAAAAAAGGATAAAAGAAAGAAGAAGAAGAAAAAAGAAAGGTTAATCTGTTTGTTTTAGTTCATAGAGATACATCCTGTCATTTCAGTTATTAACTAAATATCACTAGAACGAAAGCCACACCTGGGCAACATTTCGTGCAACAAAGCTTCTGTTTTCTTTTTTTCTTCTATGAGCTGATCAGTTCGTTCATCGACGAGTGCTTCCAAATTATTGGCATACTTCTCCATCATCACCAGCATATTATCAAATATATTAGGTTTCCTGTTGGAAGGGAAAACAACAACAACGAAAAACGTTTCGTTTATGCGCATGGTCACAGGCATTTGACTTATGACATTATTCTCAATGTGTATATGATTCAGTATATAAAAATATTATTTTAGACCAGGACACTACCTAATAAGTGACCCAGGAACGGAAAAACATCAAAAGAAAATTATATTATAATGAAATTCGTGACTTATATATTGGTTATTTATTTATTGTCTAATAACTTATACACTTTTGTATCTATAGTGGTCCATTTTTCAATTTTTAATTATTGTCTGTTTACTTAATAAAGCATCTGGTATTTCGAGTTTATTTATTTCACATCATCATATGTTCTCTGCTTCAAAAAATATATTCATGACATCACTAGTATTGCCCGATTTCCATAACGTATAGTTCTAGTAAGGTACGCCACCGCTAGAGGTTTTACCAATATAGAAAACGAAAATAGCGCCCAAAATTAGACATTTAATGACTCATATTTAGAACCAAGTAATCTAGTTCTTTGGCTTTAAAAATCGTCAAACTTTAGATGGATTTGTTAATGGTTGTTCAACGTACACAGGATTTGTTAATGCTTGTTCAACGTACACAGGACTGAGAACCATTAACAAACGTATACAGGATTTGTTAATGGTTCCTGTATACGCTGAGAACCATTAACAAATCCTGTGTACGTTGAACATTTGTTAATGGTTCTCAGCGTATACAGGATTTGTTAATGGTTGTTCAACGTATACACACAATTCGATGATCCTCAGCTGATGTAGGATTAGATATGCTGAGACGTACAGGAGTTATACATGGATGAATATAACAGTTAGTTATTGCACTAATTATAAACAATTTCCAGTTGATCAAGAGTAATGACATTTAAACAACGCTATATCTCTTCAAAATACTTTCAGAACAAAAGTATAATTTCTGAACACACTTGTAATATATGCGTTTACTACCAGACACTGCAAAACTTACAGGTTTGATTTATCTTATAGGCTAGAAGATTTTTACACTCAACCAAGGATGGGACAACTATCAATATTAATTTTACGAAAAGTTTATATTTAATGACTGAATGATTCGAAAATATGTGCAGTATTTGTAACTCTTCATAGTATAAGAAAAAGGCTTAGCTCTCACGCGAAAAATAAACAACACAGAGGTTTGATAATATTTTCATCAACGTTTACAATTATTCATAAGTTAAAAATCAGGCAAAATGAAAACAAGTACAAAACACTTTTGTTGCTGCAATATTATTGTTTAAGTAGATATTTCAAAGACTGTTTCTGAAATCTAAATCATTTTTTTGACAATAGTCTTTATATGCGTCCGCGTATAGTTGGCGAGTCGCTGAACCGATTGTTACCAAATCTGGCATGTACTCTTAGAGGCCCCATAGAGAGTTAAGTGTTCGGAGTTGATCCCTGGGATCCTGTGCGTTGAATGGGTGCGTCAACTATTTATTTTATGTTTGCCATCTTTTAGTGACGTCATTGAAATCGAAGACGATTTTTAAATCTTTAAGAATAACTTGCCAAGATAGGATATTGTATGTTTCAATTTTGTTCATTGCTATTCGGTTTCAAAAATAAAAGAAGAAGAACAACAACAACAAAACTTACATTCCCTTTCTCATTGGTCTAAGTTTGGTTCGAACAGTTTTGAAGTCCGGCCTCTCTTCTGGGTCTTCTGACCAACATTCTTTCATGCACTCTCTAGCACAATCGAAAACACAGTCTAATAGCTCCAGTGGTGGTCGAAAAGGATAACTGGGTTCTCGCTGCATCACCCTTTTAATGATTTCTGGAATATTAAAATGAAAAACAAAACACATTACTACTGACTTAGGAACTCATTCATCCTCGCCTTTAATATTCCCATTTTTCGTATAGCAATAAAAAAAATGTATATTTTGCAATTAGATTGTTTGTTTTGAATTTCGCGCAAAGCTACACGAAGGCTATCTGCGCTAGCCGTCCCTAACTTAGCAGTGTAAGACTAGAGGGAAGGCAGCTAGTCATTTCCACCCACAGCCAACTCTTGGGCTACTCTTTTACCAACGAATAGTGGGATTGACCACCACATTATAACGCCCCCACTGCTGAAAGGGCGAGCATGTTTGGTGGGACGGGGATTCGAACCCGCAACACGCCAATTGCGAGTCGAGCACCCTAACCACGTGGCCATGCAGGGCCCTTTGCTATTAGTATATTTATGTTTGTCATTTCTTTGTAACTTTCAACTCCATTCTCTCGAAATGAACACATGAAACGTTTATGAAACGATCAGTATCTGCCCTTAATTGTTATTTGGTTAGAACCCCTTCTCTTACCAGGTTAGACTACTTTGTGCTACGTGAAATGTCTACGATCGACAATTCAATAAGATGTCTTCCTTGGTTGTTGCACATTCATCAAGAGGTATGGTCTACAGTTGGTTTACATATCGTGACAGAGAATTACGTTGTTCATGTTCATTCTAACGATGGTCAGTGGGAATGAGATTCGGTAGTTGTGCCGACAAAGACATCTTACGGTCACGCTCTTTGAATCAGTTTCCGATAATATCAAGTGAAGTGTAGTGATGCGGGTTTTGTAGTGGCAGAACTCTTGTTCGTCAGGATAAAATAACAGCAGTTTGAAATCAAAACAAACTTAAGTCATTCTCTTGTTGTTATTCGAACTTATTAACGTCCAACTCACACGAGTGTTTCTCCGTTATATCACACCCAACAGCTCACAGTGTGGGATATTTGTCCACGGAAGACATGCTTTCATATTCGCATCCGTAGTTGGTCTAGCTATTGGTGCCACATGGCAAGCGTTGTAACTTTTTTGGAGTGAAATAGTTGGATGTAGTAGAATCCTGGCCAATGTTGAAAGAATTGGCCAGTTTAGACAAAGTCTTACATCTCTTACACCTTACAAACTCACCCAGAGATCTGTTCCTTCAGTCATACATCGTTGTCTCACCCCGAGAGCTGTTCCTTCAGTCAGACATCGTTGTCTCACCCAGAGATATGTTCCTTCAGTCAGACATCATTGTCTCACCCAGAGATCTGTTCCTTCAGTCAGACATCATTGTCTCATCCAGAGATCTGTTCCTTCAGTCAGACATCGTTGTCTCATCCAGAGATCTGTTCCTTCAGTCAGACATCGTTGTCTCATCCAGAGATCTGTTCCTTCAGTCAGGACATGTTGTCGGGAACAATTTGTCTTCACCATGGATGAAGTCTAATCGCAAATGTCTTTCAACGGTTCTCATAGAAACTATATTTAATAACAATGTTACTGCTAGGTTGATGTTTACGGACATTAAAATCCAGGCCCGGTAGACTGTACGTAGATAGCCTATTGTGTAGTATTGCGTTAAAAGCAACAAGAATAGTTAGATACTTTTGAAAAGCTCTTCTTTAAAAGTCCGATTATCTTTCCCGCTGTCTTGCGAAAAATCTATAATATTACTACATAGAAATACAACAATTATATAACGTACAACATGATCAGTCTATTCCAAACATGCCAATAAAGAGAGTGTTTTAGATATTTAAATGAAGAAGCCAGTGAGTGTACACGAGAGATTATTCGAGATAAAAAATTATGTATTAAATATTATTTAACTTTCACATTGAATTTTGTTTTACCCTCAAAGAATAATAACGTTCTAAACCAAGTTAATAACAAGCGTGACGTGTAGCATGGAATAAAGATCCCACCATGACGTGCAGCATGGAATAAAGGTCCCACATGACGTGCAGCATGGTCCCACCATGACATGTACCATGGAATAAAGGTCCCACCATGACGTGCAGCATGGAATAAAGGTCCCCGCATGACGTGCAGCATGGAATAAAGGTCCCACCATGATGTGCACCATGGAATAAAGGTCCCACCATGATGTGCACCATGGAATAAAGGTTGGTATCACAAGCTTAATTTTTTTTGTTGTTAAATAGAAAGTTGCAGAATGAGTTATCTGCATTATTCTCACAGCTGATATCGAGCTTCGAACTTTACCATTATATATCTCAAACTTACTGCAACGTAAGTTTAACTGAGTGGGTGGGTTGGTTATTGTTAAGTGTAATGTTAAATAATGGGCTGTCTGCGTCGTGCCCAACGCGGGATATCGAATCCCAGATTTTAGCGTTATGAACCCTTAAGCTTACAACTGAACAAGCGGGAGTATAACTGAATGAGGAAATTAAAAGGACGTGGTTAAATATTTCTATTGTTTTAGAAGGCGTGGTTAAATATTTCTATTGTTTTAGAAGGCATGGTTAGATATTTCTATTGTTTTAGAAGGCGTGGTTAGATATTTCTATTGTTTTAGAAGGCGTGATTAAATATTTGTATTGTTTTAGAAGGCGTGGTTAAATATTTCTATTGTTTTAGAAGGCGTGGATTGATATAAACATATATCAATTCTGTAGGATGATTTGGAACCTTTTAAACACATTAAATTGTTGTCTTTCTGTTGAATTTCGTCTTCCTGTATTGTGTTTCTGTTTTTAAATTACTTGAACATAGACGTTAAAGTTTTTCAGCCTAGTTTATTTCATTTCATTTTTAGTTTCTTGATTTCAATTAATTATTCTTTGATTACACTACCATCTCGGCATGTGGTTAGAGCGCTTGACTCGCAATCTGAGGGTCGAGGGTCCGAATCCCCGTCACAAGAAACATGCTCGCCCTTTCAGCCGTGGGGGATGTTATAATGTGGTGGTCAATTCCACTATTCGTTGGTAAATAAGTAGCAAAGAGTTAGCTGTGTGTGGTGATGGCGCACAGCTACACGAGGGCTATCTGCGCTAGCCGTCCCTAATTCAGTAGTGAAAGACAAGAAGGAAGGCAGCTAGTCACATGATAACGTCCACACGGCTGAAAGGACGAGCATGTTTGGTGGGACGGGGATTCGTACCCGCGACCCTCAGATTGCGAGTCAAGCGCCCTAACCACCTG